GTTAAGGTAAAATAAGATATGAATGAACAACACAAATCAAATAAGTTACATTCATTTGTTACAGTCAGGAGGGTAGTGATGACAGCTTGTAGGATTACTGGTCGTGCTAATGTTGTCTTGTGTTCACCTCTGTGTGTTCAGTGCCATGTGTCTGGAAAATAAAGACCCCCGCGGTTTATTTCATTTTAAGGATGAGCACCAAGCAACATCTCCAGGTGCTCCTTTGAGAACCAGGGCAAAAAAGTTATGTGCACCCCTGGCTATAATGCTTCAATTAACTGGCTATTCTTTATAATATACTCTGATCAATAGGAGACAGAGATGTTAAGTTATAAATCAAGGGTTTGTATTATTATTTACAGCAGGGGTGGGGAACTTAACGTGAAGAGATGTTACGTGGATGTTCAAGGAACCTGTCATTGGCCAGGAAAAACAGGCACTCGCTTGTTTAATTATTTTGCGGTAATTTGCATCATTACACATATTTAATTTAAATTTCTGTTAACACTAGAACCGCCAACAGCGTCAGCGCCTACATAGATATCATTTTCAAATCATTTAATTTGTTCCTATTCATAATTTCCTTATAAACTAAGTAGGACGATTTCAAACTCACTTAATTGGGTTAATTTAGAAATTGCTTCAGTTTATCATCATAACAGATCAAAAAGTTCAGATTCATTTTACAATAAATCAAGGAATGATGCACTTCTACAAACAAAAACAACATAATTAAAACATTTAAACAAACTACTAAAAGTAGATGAACTACATTATTCAAAAGTTTACAGTAACTTCTGATAATAACACAAGGGAAATAAACGAGGCATATCTCTCTCTCTCTCTCTCTCTCTCTCTCTCTCTCTCTCTCTCTCTCTCTCTCTCTCTCTCTCTCTCTCTCTCTCTCTCTCTTCTCTCTCTCGCGCCCGTCAGTATCAGGGTTAGTCCAAATGAATCCCTTGGCGGTTCTAGTGTTCATTTGCCGTTTTGTCTTCTCTTTGCTTAATCGATTTGAAACCAAGTCTAACGTAGCTTAAACTTAACGTTAGCTTTCTAGCTAACACAACACATGCACGCACCTTTCTCTGTGGGGTTTTCCTGCCTTCTAGTGGGTTGCCAGGTTTGCGCGCACGGCGCTATAATCACGTTTTTCGAAAAAACTAAACGTAATATCTCACTACAAAAACAAACGCAAATATTTAATTTTAAACAGTCAAGTCCTTTCAAGTCATTTATCTCAAGCTTAAGTCAAGTCTCAAGTCATGAATACCAAGTCAAAGTCAAGTCAAGTCTTTTATCAATGTTAGTCAAGCAAGTCTCAAGTCAAAAAATATGCGACTCGAGTCTGACTCGAGTCAAGTCATGTGACTCGAGTCTGACTCGAGTCAAGTCATGTGACTCGAGTCCCCACTTCTGCCACTTTATTTAATATATATATAAATTAACTTGCTGTTCAGTTGGATCACTGTGCTGCTCCTGGCCTCTCCCTCCTAGATAGAGAGGTGAAGTGTCTGCTTTATGCTGATGACCTTGTTCTGCTGTCTCCTACTGAACAAGGACTACAACAATAGCTGGACATAGTAGACCAGTACTGTAAGAACTGGGCCCTGGCAGTCAATATGAAAAAAACTAATGTCATGGTTTTCCAAAAACGCCCCAGATGTCAGGAGAACAAATACAATTTTACCATAAATAATCATATCATCGAACATAGTATGAGTTACCTACCTCGGTTTAACCATAACAGCATCAGGAAGTTTCAACATGGCAGTGAATGCACTCAAAGAAAAAGCCAGAAGAGCTCTAAATGCAATTAAGAGAACATTTTATAATGTCCAAATTCCAATTAAAATCTGGCTCAAAATATTTGATAGTGTGATCCAGCCCATTGCGCTGTACGGTATAGTGAAGTATGGGGTCCACTCAGTCACCAGAGCTATACCCGCTGGGACAAACATCCAACAGAGTCTTTACATGCAGAATTCTGCAGATACATTTTACGTGTTCAGAGAAAAACACCAACAAATGCATGTAGAGCAGAATTAGGCAGATACCCACTGATCATTAACACTCAAAAGAGAGCACTAACATTCTTTAACCACCTTAGGTCCAGCCCCAAAGACACCCGTCCACTCCAAAGCCCTCCAAAGCCAAGAGCTAACCCCAGAGAAGAGTCCCCTATGTCAGCTGGTGCTGAGGCTAGCTGCCCCCTCTCAGAGCCACTCTGACCAGTCTCTCAACAACACTGCTCTCCAAACACCAATCACAGTCAAACGCATTATAACACAATGTAAAGACAACTATTTACAACATTGGGAAGAAGAAACTAAAAGCCAAAGTAGATTAGAATGTTACCTGGCTCTAAACAGAGAGTATGAGCTGGCAGAATATCTCTCTACTGTCAGAGACAGAAAGCAGAGACAGATCCTAACCAAGTACAGGCTCAGTGACCACAAACTGGCAATCGAAACAGGAAGACTCAAAAGATCCTGGCTACCAAAAGAGAGCAGAATATGTGGTCACTGTACGACAGGTGAGACTGAGACAGAGATGCACTTCCTCCTGAAGTGCCAAACATTCAACGAAGCAAGGAGCGTTTACTGGAACAAGTTGAACTCTGTAATCCCAGGTTTCAAGGAGGTTGATGACCTCTCAAGACTGAGAGTACTCAGGAGAAGGATAAAAGGCACATCTTGCTGCCCAATATGTATACACATGCCACAACCTGAGGGACAGTGAATGAGACACACACACACACACACGTTGAAATGTAATTGTATCACTGTATATATATATATCATCAATAATATGTAAACATTTGAAATGTATGTTAATGTTGTTAATTATTTTGTATTGTGATGCTTTGGCAACATTGTTTAATTTAACTTTCATGCCAATAAAGCCCCTTTGAATTGAATTGAGAGAGAGAGAGAGAGAGATATATGCCTCGTTTATTTCCCCTGTGTTATTATCAGAAGTTACTGTAAACCTTTGAATAATGTAGTTCATCTACTTTTAGTAGTTTGTTTAAATGTTTTAATTATGTTGTTTTTGTTTGTAGAAGTGCATCATTCCTTGATTTATTGTAAAATGAATCTGAACTTTTTGATCTGTTATGATGATAAACTGAAGCAATTTCAAAATGAACCCAATTAACTGAGTTTTAAATCGTCCTACTTAGTTTATAAGGAAATTATGAAGAGGAACAAATGTAATTATTTGAAAATGATATCTATGTAGGCGCTGACGCTGTTGGCGGTTCTAGTGTTAACAGAAATGTAAATTAAGTATGTGTAATTGCAAATGCCATATATGATTTTCTTACCTGGAATTCTGCCTTTTTTAACAGACTTTTTGATTGAGTCCTAGCTATGTCTGCAGTTCTAGGGTTAATATTAATCTAATATGATTGTCATCGGTCTAAATTAGATTTCAAATAATTAACTGTGTATGCTTGATACTTGTCGGTCAAGACTTGAGACTTGCTCATGACTTGCACATGTAGGACTTACTCCCACCTAGCAAGTGTCACCTGTCACACCACCTGTCACTTTTTATGCATACTAATGAGACAAAAGGGGTATGCATATCACTACGAAGGGTTGAGGCTTGAATCATCCAACAGCAGTAATGGTGAGGACTGAGATGCAGCCACGAGTGGACAGCAAAATGATTTCTACAATCTGTCTGCAAATCACAGTAAAGACACACTTTAGCCACTGCGGGAGTCTGCCAAAGTGGGAGGGAGATAAATCTAAAGAGCGCAAACGGAATCGACCCCCATTCCCAGGAGTAATGGAGCTGTCACAGGCTTAGACTGACCCCACAGTCACCCCAGGGGGGCAATGATATGGCACCCATCCATTCACACAAAGCCGGCAGCAAAGTGAGGAGGGGGGGCCAACACATCATGATGATAGCAGTCATCCTCACAGGAATGAGGAAAAATAGAGGTCATTGTGCCAGTGGAATCTCATGGGAGAAGCGTGCAATAATGTGTGTGTGTGTGTGTGTGTAGGTGTGTGTGTGTGTGTGTGTGTGTGTGTGTAGGTGTGTGTGTGTGTGTGTGTGTGTGTGTGTGTGTGTGTGTGTGTGTGTGTGTGTGTGTGTGTGTGTGTGTGTGTGTGTGTGTGTGAGAGTGTGAGTGTGTAGGTGTGTGTACAGTGAGAGACCCTGCGGAGAGCATGACAGTGACAGAGAAGGAGGACTGACACTCATGGTAGGAAGTAATTATTGATGCCTGGTTGGAGAAGATGAAACCTGCCTCCATGAAATATATTTGAAAATCGGTCATCCTACGCATGAAAACAAATTCAATTATGATGGAAACAGAAGAAGGGTCACATTTTAGTTTGACTTATAGTGACATATCATTATGTAGGTTCTATGTACTGCCTGTTTTTGGATCACACGCATTTCCAAGACGCAATGAAACGTACCCTACGGCATCAAGCGTAATGTACGGCGAGGCAATCTTGCATCCAATCTAGCGACTCAGCTCCAGTAGCCTGTGTGGTCTCTGGAGGGGGGAGACATGCCTCCTCGCTCTGCCTCTCGCCGCTCTACATCCATGGCGCATCTCCAGCTCTGAATCCACCTCGGCTCTGGACACACACCGGCGTCGGCGCTCGATCCACTCACTGACAAACACACACACACTTTGACAAATGCAGCGCAGAGGACTGGACCGGCCGGAGACATCTTCCTGTATCTGATCGAGTGCGTTCATGGTAAGCCGAGTTTCTTTTTTCTCATCTGCTGTTGCATTTTACGCGCATCGAGCCGCAACTGTTATCTAACCAACAAGAGGCTGTAATCTGAGAGTAGTGTTTATGTGAGGCGTAAAATCAGTAGCCTAAATATAGCAATTTCTTCTCCACACAGCGACTTAAAAGTAGGTCTGATGTAGTAAATGGTGAGTTTAAAGTGACCTGCACTCACTTTATCGGCTATAATACTCCATATCATTGATATGTTTAATTGTATCTATCTAACGTGTATTTGAATTTTAAGTACGTTTTTTAAGTTTATGTTTTTCAAGTGATATCAAGCTGCAAGGGATTCCAAAACTAACAATATTACTTATTTAACATGCAAGTTATGCTCATAACTGTTTAAGCCTTTAGGAGTCACTATAGATGACAGGATAAAATCAAAAGTTCCAGGTCTATTAATTCTAATCCATCAATTTCATCCTGGCTGTTAATTGATTCCATCATAATTCAACTTTACCTTATTTTCTAGGTTCTTCACTTACAGTTAAATAACCCCCTTTTTCTATCTGCTGTGAATGACAAGATTATTGTTGATCTTTCTCTGAATTCCTTCCTTTCCATTTGCATATGGCTAAAGTGCTTTTAGTGTGTGTGTGTGTGTGTGTGTGTGTGTGTGTGTGTGTGTGTGTGTGTGTGTGTGTGTGTGTGTGTGTGTGTGTGTGTGTGTGTGTGTTGGGGTGTGTGGGAATCATGTAGAACAAGATTCATCTTCTCCCCGATCACAGCGCTCCTCTGTAGCCCGGGGTCAGATGCAGCTCCTCTCCGCACAGCAGCAGCTCTGCTCTCCGCCTGTGGCACTCTCGCATATTCATATTTGTGTGTGTAAGGTGGTTTAGAGGGAGAACGAGAAGGGGAAAAGATGGATGAGTGACTGAGGACTTGAAGCTCCTCCTGGCGTTGCTACTGTTGCTCAACTCTCTGTGCTTCCCAGGATTGATCATCAGGCTTTGCCAATAAACCGCCTCACTCAGAGGATCTGTGAACACACTAAGGTGCCTTAATAGAAACATCTTTGGCACTGTCACATCCCTCAATCACTTGAATCCCAAATCCCTCAGTCCCACCCTCATCACTAACTTATAACCTCATTTGTTGCCTTTATTTTCCACAGAGGCAATTGCCTTCCCCGCACCATTCCCAAATGTCATTACCTCCAACACTTTTGCTGCTAGCTATGTTATCTCAGCAGTAGTGACGCCAAAATGTACAACTCAACCTGCCAGAGGAGGCGTGCACTGCACAGTGTAATCTTTGGTTGATCCCCGAGGCTTTTATCCTCTGAACACTTTTATTGTTTGAGGAAAACAAAAGCTGGGGCCATCTGAAGCCTGAGTTCCCTTTCCAGATGTTCTCAGGGTGTCTTTTATTCCTGGTGTGAGTGCCGATGGGGGAATTATATGCCAGGGAGAAAGGAGGACTTGCAAATCAAATTGCTTTAATCCATTGAAGCATCTGTCCTCAGTCTCCAGAGGGCAGCAGGGTGTGCGAGGAGGCACTGAGCCCTGATCATGGAAAGGAAAACAAAACCTGTCGCTGAGGAATCATCTGTTGTGCCTCGGTCAGCCAGCTGTGCAGATCACATAGGGTTTGGATGGCAGGACTGTCAAATTGACAGATTTTCACCATCTTTTCCTAAAGTATCAGAGATAGTAAGAAGCTTGGTCCAAGTTGTACATTATCAGCAGTCATTTGATCTTCTGTTTCTCTGTTTATCATATGTCTTCTCTGTCCTTCAAGTGAGCGCACAAATAGACTGAGCAGATTTAAATGTACTCTGAAACAAGAGACAAACAGCACAGTGTCCCTGTCACCCTGTCTTCAACTAACACAGTGTCTCCCCCTGATGGGTTCAGTCTGCGATTGGTGTTTTTAGCAGTACTCAAACAGAATGGCTCATGATGTAGATTTATTTCCCCCTCACCCACAGAGTAAATGTCTTTGGTTTTGCGTTGTTTGTGATTAATGGAACATCAAAAGCTGATCTGAGCTCAGTGTGATACATTCCTGAGGACATGAGTCTGCCAGGGACACATAAACATCATTAATGAACAAGAGGCAGACTGGAGAGTGACAGAGTGACAGAGAGAGGGTGAGAGGACGCAAACAGGAAGGCAATATTTAGTCAGTAATATGATATATATTTACCTGTGGTTTTCATGATGATTGCCTCAGTGAGTGATGGAGACACATTTGGCGCCCACGGATCTGGTGTGATTACCTACCATCAGTTTGGTGCAGAGGGACAAATCAATGGCAGTACACTTTCTTTTCAAATCCATTTGGAAAATCACATCTCCCTTTGCTCTTTCATACCCATTGGCAAACAACTCGTACGTGTACAAAGGAAACTTCTCCACTCATCTAAGTGAAGACAGCTATATTTATCTGGGTTTGTAGCTCTCTGCTGGGCTTAGAGGCTTAATTACAGAAGAGAAGAAAGCAAAAACTGAATTGCAATTATGCAACTGTGTTTGAATAGTGGAGTTATTTTAGATTTAGGGACACCATTTTCCAGTAGAGGTCTGACCTTTGGGTCATGTTTTTACTGAACAAATCTATGGAGCCTTTAGGAAATAAATTCTGTACCAGTTTATTCAAAGCGTTTAAGCTACTTATGGTAAAAATGCTCAAATCAGTATGCTCTGCTTGGAGAAAGAGAGCTAAACCATTCCTCAAATCTGCACATTTTAGGAAACACAAGCACATGTGCTATCAAGGATCAATTTGGTCAATTATCTTTTTTTCACCTCCCTAACTATTATGAAGCTACAACCAGCAACAGGTTACTTAGCTTGACAAAAAAGGTCAAAGATTACTTTTTTGTTTCACACGGGACACATTCTGCCTAGAAATGTATTTGGGATTTACAAAAAAACAAATGTAGTCCAGGAGCAATACATTTCCCTCAAAACTTAATTGACAATGCATTTTCATGGAATTTAAATGTAATTTTTAGGAGACCAAGCTAGTCAGGTTAGACAGTTTATTTAAACATTCAAATAGACAACCAACAAAACAAAAATTGTCATGGTTGTTTTTGTATCGTTGAAATAAATGTCATTTGAGTGAGTTTAACAGCAGAGCAAAGCTAACTGTTTTGACGTGTTTAAGGTCCTTACGCTAAATGTAGCTAAGCTGAGCTAACTGGCAGCTAGCTGTCATTTTATATTTATGGTACAGACATGCGAGGATTATCAATATTTTCATTAAACTCTCAGTAAGAAAGAATATTAAAAAAAAATATTGACCTATTCCTATATTTGCTCTAATGATTGTTTTTGCTTAACTAAAGAAAAAACCCTGTTACACATGCTGTTTATTTTCTACCATAAGTAGCTTAAACGCTTTGAATAAATAAGTACAGGATTTATTTCCTAAAGGCTCAATAGATTTGTTCAGCAAAAACATGACCAAAAGATCAGACCTCTACTGGAAAATTGTGTCCCTAAATCTAAAATAACTCCACTATTCAAAATACTCTGCACACATAATTGTCACGATCTGTCTGTGTTGTGTTTTGTCTTTTTCTGTCTTTGGTTTCATGTTTTATTTTGAAAAGTCTTCACCTCCTGTCTTGCCTGTTGCTGTCTGTCTGTTTTCCCTCCTACCTAATTACCCGATTGTGTTCACCTGGTGCCCCTGTGTTTTCTCCTCCCTCCTCACCTGTGTCTTGTTTGTGTGATTAGTCTTGTGTGTATTTAAGTTCTGGTTTTTCTGTCTGTCATTGTTGGTTCATTGTTTGTCTTTGACTGTGTTCTCGTGTTAGTGTTCTGTTTGTGCCTCTAGACCTTGAAATAAAGGTATTTTTTCAGTTTATTCTACATTTGGGTCCTGCCTGCTTCACTCAACCGTAACAGAATGGACGCTCCGTCCAGTGTTCTGCAGAAGGGGGCCGCTCTGGTAGAGGCGCACCGGTTGGCTATGGAGAAACCAGGCTTGGTGAAATTTTTACCTGGCTGGATTTTGAACTTCCTCTGGGTGTGTGATTTCCAGCCTGCTGACTACAAACGTATCGATGTGTTCCGTCCGGAGTTAACCCCTGCTTCTTCCCCATGTCCTGCTCCTGTCCAGGAGCCGTTCTCTGGAACTCGTCTGGCTTTTGGAGGTCCACGAAGCCTCCAAACGGCTCCTAAAAGAAGGAGTCGCAAGGCCAGGCTAGCAGCCCGAGCCCCAAGAGCCATGGTTCCGGCCCAAGTTCTGGCCCCAGCAGCCATGGTCCCAGACCCAGTTCTGGCCCCAGCAGCCATGGTTCCAGCCCCAGTCCCGGCCCCAGCAACCATGGTTCGGGCCCCAGTATCAGGCCCAGCAGCCATGGTTCCGGCCCCAGCAGCCATGGTTCCGGCTTCAGTGCCGGCCCCAGTAGCCATGGTCCCTACTCCAGTTTCGGCTCCAGTACAGGCTTACCGGCCGACGCCAGCTCCCCGAGTCCTGTCGGTGTACCGGCCGACTCCAGCACCTCTTCTCCTGTTGGCCCTCCAGCCGACGCCAGCTCCCCGAGTCCTGTCAGCGTACCGGCCAACGCTAGCTCCCCGAGGCCTGTCGGCGTACCGGCCGACTCCATCACCTCGTCTCCTGTTGGCTCTCCAGCCGACACCAGCTCCCCGTGTCCTGTCGGCGTACCGACCGACACAAGTCCCCTCTCAAGTCTCCTCTCGAGTTCCCTCTCAGGTCCCCTCTCGAGTGTCCTCTCAAGTCTCCTCTCAAGTCACCTCTCGAGTTCCCTCTCAAGTCACCTCTCGAGTTCCCTCTCAAGTCACCTCTCGAGTCACCTCTCGAGTTACCTCTCGAGTCACCTCTCGAGTTCCCTCTCGAGCCCTCTCTCTCGAGTCTCCTCTCGAGCCCTCTCTCTCTCTCTCTCTCTCTCTCTCGTCTCGAGTCCCCTCTCGAGTCTCCTCTCGAGTCCCCTCTCGAGTCCCCTCTCCAGTCACCTCTCGAGTTCCCTCTTGAGCCCTCTCTCGAGTCCCCTGTCGAGTTCCCTCTCCAGTCCCCTGTCGAGTTCCCTCTCCAGTCCCTACTCAAGTCCCAACTCAAGTCCCTACTGAAGTGCCGTTGGAGGTTCCGCTGGGGGTCCTGCCAACTCCATGTCTTGTCCCGTTGGGGGTCCCACCGACTACTCTCCTGCCGGGGGTCCTGCCAACCCTATGTCCTGTCCCGTTGGGGGTCCCGCCGACTATTCTTCTGCCGGGGGTCCTGCCAACCCTATGTCCTGTGCCGTTGGAGGTCCTGCCGACTACTCTCCTGCCAACTCTATGTCCTGTCCCGTTGGGGGTCCCTTCGACTACTCTTCTGCCGGGGGTCCTGCCAACCCTATGTCCTGTACCGCTGGAGGTCCCGCCGACTACTCTCCTGCCGGGGGTCCTGCCAACCCTGTGTCCTGTCCCGTTGGGGGTTGCCAACTCCTGGTCCTCTTCCGTGGGGGATCCTTCCGAAGCCTGTCCCACCGGCTCCGGTTCCTGTCTGGCCGACACCGGGTCCTGCCCGGCCTCCGGAGCTGTCCCGTCAGCGCCTTCCTGCCCGGCCTCTGGAGCTGTCTGGTCTTCACCCTCGAGCCCGGCCCCCTGAGAGCCGCGGTCTTCGCCCTCGAGCCCGGGCCCCTGAGAGCCGCGGTCTTCGCCCTCATGCTCGGCCCCCTGAGAGCTGCGGTCTTCGCCCTCGAGCCCGGCCCCCTGACTTTCCCGGCCGCGGTCCTTGCCCTCGGGCCCGGCCCCCTCACTCTTCCTGCCGCTGCCTTCGCCCTCATGCTCGGCCCCCTGAGTTCGCCCGCTGTGGCCTTCGCCCCTCCATGGTCTCTGCCTTGCCCCCGGGCCGTCCGCCCGAGACCCCCACCATGGACTCTGCCTTGCCCCCGGGCCGTCCGCCCGAGACCCCCACCTTGGACTCTGCCTTGCCCCGGGCCGTCCGCCCGAGTCCCCCACCTTGGACTCTGCCTTGCCCCGGGCCGTCCTCCCGAGTCCCCCACCTTGGACTCTGCCTTGCCCCGGGCCGTCCGCCCGAGTCCCGATTGTGTTCACCTGGTGCCCCTGTGTTTTCTCCTCCCTCCTCACCTGTGTCTTGTTTGTGTGATTAGTCTTGTGTGTATTTAAGTTCTGGTTTTTCTGTCTGTCATTGTTGGTTCATTGTTTGTTTTGGACTGTGTTCTCGTGTTAGTGTTCTGTTTGTGCCTCTAGACCTTGAAATAAAGGTATTTTTTCAGTTTATTCTGCATTTGGGTCCTGCCTGCTTCACTCAACCGTAACAATAATTGCATGCATAATTGCATTTCAGTTTTTTTGCCAGGTAAGGACAAACTTAACTGGCAAGGGAACTCTGGATGAATGTGACTTACTTTACCTTCTACTGTTTAAGTGCCCTTTAGACATAATCATAATAGCTGTTCATTGGCTATCAGTAGAGGACTGCAGGCTAGAAGGAGTGGGAGCTTCATGCATGTATGAAGCTGAGAAAATGCATCAAGGTGAAATCTCATTGTGTGTGTCTCTGTGCCTCCCTGCGCGGCATTAGCGTGAAGGATGTAGAGCCAGAGGGAGGGGCAGGATGGAGTGCTCCTGGAAGACGGTGCTGCTGCTGGTGTGTGCGTCTCTGGGGGTCCAGTACACGGCCATCCGCACCCTGAGGGACTCGCTGTCCGGGCCCTGTCAGGGACCCTACCGCTGCCAGAGCAGGCACTTCAGAGGTACACCTCCACAAACATACCTCACTACAGGAGAGCATGATGTGTATGGTGCATGCTAAAATATTATTTTGTAAAAGTTACATAAATATTATTTTTGAGCATCTGGAAAAACGCTATAATAAATGTAAGGAATTATTAATTATTATTATTATTATTAAAATATACTTAACGTACCAAAAGTAAAAGTACTCATGCTGCAGATTGGCAGATTTCAGAATAATATATATTATATGTTTCTTTTGAATATAATTATAGATGCATTAAAGTGTTATCAAAGCTAGTTTTAATTACTTTGTATACTGCAGGGTAGCTTGTTAATATTCTCCAGGTAAAGTCTTATTTAAGTGTCGATTATATTTCACATCATTAAACCAAATCTGACAAGTAACTAAAGATACAAAGTAAATGTAGTGTAGTAAAAGTACACAATTTACCTCTGAATTGTAGTGATGTAGAAGTACAAAGTATCATACAATTGAAATGTAAAGAACAAGTATCTCAAAATTGTACTTGAGTACATCTACTTCCCACCCTGCCTGTGAGGCACCTGCAGAGGTCATGCACAAACACACATTTGATTACTAACATCATTTTAGAAGAAAACCTGATGCATAGAGGATCCGTGCCAGCATTACAGCTGCGACTAAAGCTAAAGAAAAAGTGGTTCATTTAATGAGGGAATTCCCAACAAGTAGGGAGGATAAAGAAATGAAATATGTGTGAATCGTTTTACAATTATCCTCCAATTTATCCCCATTAATCCTGTCTCATAGCGCCGCTGTAGTTTGCCAGCGCCAAGCTCCTGTGTACGAAAGAAACATCCCCTTTGCAATCAACTCCTCATCAGCAGTAATTACACATTAGCTATTTGCGCTAGGCTATATTTAGAGATCCGCCATTTCATAAACCCCCTCAGTAACCACCGGCAGACAAGCAACTTACTCAGGCATGTTTACCCTCTAAATTATTTAAGCTTTATTGGCTTGATTCAGTAGTTCACTTTCTCCTGGACTAGAGTTATGACGGAAACCAATTATTTTTCACTTTTATGAGCTGAAGTAACTCTTCCAAAATAAGTAAGATAAAGTCTATTAGTTACGCTTTTTATGAATGCCACTTCTATAGCATGCTATGCATCATGAATACGCTCATAAACACTATCAGTCAACCAATAACTAGTCAAGAATATTCATAAAACAGTTATATTATAGTCATAGACATGACACAAGTACAGTGATAAAGTACCAGAGTACCATAAATGCATGATAATCCACTAAAAATGCCCTAATCATACACTATAGAAGTGTATTTCATAGAAAATGTTACCCCTCTCTTTCACCAGAACTTGAATCTATGAATCTAAGAGAAAAATAGGTGGTTTAGTGTGCGATTTAGAGTTGTTAATTACCTCTTTGTAAGAAAAAACATGATGCAATTGATGTCAGTGTAGCAAACATTGAGTTAAACATATAGCACATTTATTTGTTGTTTCTTTCTTCCAGACTCCAGGTGGAGAGCCTTGTGCGATGACAGCTGGATGCCTGTTGATTCGCCTCGGAAGCACATCCTGCTGTTCGCCACCACCCGCAGCGGCTCCTCCTTCACCGGGCAGCTCCTCAATCAGCACCCAGGGATCTTCTACGTGTTTGAACCTCTCTACCACGTCCAGCAGGCCTTCACCAACTCCAGCAGCAGGCTGCGTCGCACCCTGGACCGCCGATCACTCCTGGGAGCATACAGGGATCTCCTCCTCAACCTGTACACCTGCGATCTTCACTTCATGGAGAATTACATCCGCCCGGAGCCCCAGGACCACGTCACCAGCTCCTTCTTTCGCAGAAGCTCCAGCCATGCCCTCTGCTCCCCTCCCGTGTGCATGGAAGCAGGGGACGTAGCAGTTTCGGAATCCCCGGATGAAGCCTGGTGTCCAAAGAAGTGTGGGGCCCTAAACATCACCCTTGCCTCTATGTCATGTCTTTCAAAGGAACATGTAGCCATAAAGACTGTGCGGGTCCCGGAGGTGGGGGACCTGCGCACCCTGACAGAAGATCCTCGTTTAGACCTGAAGATCATCCACCTGGTAAGAGACCCCAGAGCTATCCTCGCGTCGCGCATGATGGCGTTCTCTGATCAATTCCGCGCTTGGAAAATATGGAACGCAACGGGACGGCAGCCTCGGTACGTGGACCTGACGCAGATCACCAGCACCTGCAAAGACATGGCGGCCTCCGCGGCAACAGGCCTGCAAACACCGGCATGGCTGCGGGGACGCTACCTGCTGGTGCGCTATGAGGACCTGGCCTTCAATCCGAAGGACAAAGCCACTGAGATCTACAGATTTGTGGGGCTGGAGATGGAGGACAGGGTGCGGTTGTGGATTGCAAAGAACACAAACAGTAACGTGTCATCTCCGTCGGAGTGGAACTACAGGTACTCAACTACCAGAGACTCCAGAGCGACAGCGGAGAGCTGGAGGCTTCGTCTGGGCTTTGACATCGTCAGGACTTTGCAGAATCTGTGCAACGACACTCTGGCGCTGCTGGGATACAAACAGGTTCACTCTGCAGCCGATCTCAGAAACCTGTCTCACAGTTTAGTGGAACACAGGGCTTTTCAACCAGTCAAGTAGTAGATTGATTGGTTGGTTGGTTGGTTGGTTTGTTTGTTTATTTATTTCAGCTGACTTTCCTCTTTATCTATGCTGAAGACATGAATGTAATCTATTTTACACTGAACAAAAATATAAATGCAACACTTTTGTTTTTGCTCCCATTTTTCATGAGATGAACTCAAAGATCTAAAACATTTTCTATATACACAAAATAACCATTTCTCTCAAATATTGTTCACAAATCTGAAAAAATCTGTGATAGTGAGCACTTCTCCTTTGCCGAGATAATCCATCCCACCTCACAGGTGTGGCATATCAAGATGCTGATTAGACAGCATGATTATTGCACAGGTGTGCCTTAGGCTGGCCACAATAAAAGGCCACTCTGAAACGTGCAGTTTTGCTTTATTGGGGGGGTCTGGGGGGGTCCGAAAACCATTCAGTATCTGGTGTGACCGCCATTTGCCTCACGCAGTGCAACACATCTCCTTCGCATAGAGTTGATCAGGTTGTTGATTGTGGCCTGTGGAATGTTGGTCCACTCCTCTTCAATGGCTGTGCCAAGTTGCTGGATATTGGCAGGAACTGGAACACGCTGTCGTATACGCCGATCCAGAGCATCCCAAACATGCTCAATGGGTGACATGTCCGGAGAGTATGCTGGCCATGCAAGAACTGGGATGTTTTCAGCCTCCAGGAATTGTGTACAGATCCTTGCAACATGGGGCCGTGCATTATCATGCTGCAACATGAGGTGATGGTCGTGGATGAATGGCACAACAATGGGCCTCAGGATCTCCTCACGGTATCTCTGTGCATTCACAATGCCATCAATAAAATGCACCTGTGTTCGTCGTCCATAACATACGCCTGCCCATGCCATAACCCCACCACCACCATGGGCCACTCGATTCACAACATTGACATCAGAAAACCGCTCACCCACACGACGCCACACACGCTGTCTGCCATCTGCCCTGAACAGTGAAAACCGGGATTCATCCGTGAAGAGAACACCTCTCCAACGTGCCAGACGCCATCGAATGGGAGCATTTGCCCACTCAAGTCGGTTACGACGACGGAGTCGGGTCGAGACCCTGATGAGGACGACGAGCATGCAGATGAGCTTCCCTGAGACGGTTTTTGACAGTTTGTGCAGAAATTCTTTGGTTATGCAAACCGATTGTTGCAGCAGCTGTCCGAGTGGCTGGTCTCAGACGATCTTGGAGGTGAACATGCTGGATGTGGAGGTCCTGGGCTGGTGTGGTTACACGTGGTCTGCGGTTGTGAGGCCGGTTGGATGTACTGCCAAATTCTCTGAAACGCCTTTGGAGACAGCTTATGGTAGAGAAATGAACATTCAATTCACGGGCAACAGCTCTGGTGGACATTCCTGCTGTCAGCATGCCAATTGCACGCTCCCTCAAAACTTGCGACATCTGTGGCATTGTGCTGTGTGATAAAACTGAACATTTTAGAGTGGCCTTTTATTGTGGCCAGCCTAACGCACACCTGTGCAATAATCATGCCGTCTAATCAGCATCTTGATATGCCACACCTGTGAGGTGGGATGGATTATCTCGGCAAAGGAGAAGTGCTCACTATCACAGATTTTTTTCAGATTTGTGAACAATATTTGAGAGAAATGGTTATTTTGTGTAGAAAATGTTTTAGATCTTTGAGTTCATCTCATGAAAAATGGGAGCAAAAACAAAAGTGTTGCATTTATATTTTTGTTCAGTGTATTTTACCATAAAGTAATTCAACATGACTTTTTATGGTTTTGTTAAATATATAAGTGCCAAATGTCAAGCGAGTGTGTGATGCTGCAAAAGGTATTATCCAGAATATGGTCTGTACTGCTGTGTTGATGGAACATGTTTTCATGATACCATGTTCTCATTATATCATTGTTCAAGGGAATGCTTCACTCACAAAATCACCATTTGTGTATCAATTAGTCACAAATGCTAGATTGAATTTATGAAGAAAACGTTCTCTCCCCGCCTTGAATGTGAACAAAGAATAAAAAAAATGAAGACGATTGGTTCTAACAACAGCAAAAACTATATATCAAATAATTCATTTAAAACTCTAAGCCGAATGCTAATGCTAGAATTAAAGGTAACATGGGGAGAGTATATACTAAAGGTAGTTTTGAGCTTGAAGTATTACTTTTATCGTGAGAAATATGATGCTTGAAAGAGCCTAGGTACCATTTCAGAGTGAAGTAAGTGATGTTCCTGAAGGTGAGACAGAAGTGGATTTATTTAGAAAATAATAGGGCTTGCATTCCAAGTGTCTCTAATGCATTTCGGGAAAATATTAAAATGTCACATCTTTGGTAGAAAATCTTCTGCAGTGCACAGCAGGTCTAATTTCTATGTTGAGACGTTGAGACCATGACAACATTTGTTTTCTTGTAAATACTGATAAACCGTTGCAATGCAAGTGTGCAAATGTTATGATGTGTTTGAACAGTTTTGTCAGTGTTACTATACTGTTTATATTTTCTAGCCTTTATAAAATAAATTATTCATAAGTAATACATATGAAATCTTCTTGAAACCACATTTCTTTGATGTGTTATTTTTAATTTCTTCAATCCTGAGAAGAAAGTGCTTGAGCGTTAGTGCTGAAAACAGACACACTGCAAATTCATTGTCTTTTATCTTGTAATCCCTCTGTATTTGGTTTGTTCTTTTGCCAAATGTCCATCCTGCAGATGTGTCTGTAGGACCGGATGTACCACACTGTGTTTTATTCTGGGTTAACTTTTAACCTAAAAATATGAATACCAGGACCATTGAGATGTACTGCTGTGAAGTACAGTCAGATATCAAACAGCTGCAGGTTCTCTGCCAGTCCCTCCATTTGAAACTGGTCTTTGTGTCTAAACACAAAAGGAAGCTTGCCATCTCCAGACACCAGCCCATTTATTTCCATGTAAAGCTGCTCTCTTGAGATACATGCTGGAGGGAGTTTTTGAGGAGGAACTCATTGCATGAATCATGGAGGAACCATTGATTGACTGTGATTTGCTTGCTTTTCAAATGCTAACATTGCATCTTCCTATGGAGGCTGCAATTGAAGCCCGCTGGGAGCTTTGAGCTTTAATGCTTATTCCGCTGCAGAAAGCCACTCCAGAGTGGCGGAAAGTATGCAATTTGAGTGGAACGGTCATGCTGCTCTGTGAGCACTATTAAATCTGAGGTGAAATTGTCCCTTTAATAACGCCATAATAATGTATTTATAGACACACAGTCCTCCCCATCTTTTCTGTAGCAGCCCTATAGCTGCTGACACCAGGGATATCTCAGTGTACCAAAGAATTGATCCATACATCCAGCTGAGGAGAAACAGGATTTAAGATGCATGGAGAAAAGATTGGCCGTCTTTCTTGAACTTAATCTGCAAGGCTACACAAACTGGCCATAAAGCAAAGCTTTATGACACCCGGGGAGATGTGCTTCATCGGTTTTTCCATCCTCAACCTGACACACAAAGCAGCAAGTGGCCTGAGTCAGCCGTCAGCTAATTACCCATTTATTTGCACTCAATACCGGCAACCTCTTTCTGTCTGCTTAACTGTGCTGACAAATTTAGGTCTTATCAATATGAGTAACAAATATAAGGTGCATGCAATGGGTCATCGGCCACTGTTAATCTACAGCTATGGTGCCTGGCCAGATACATTTAAGTACTTCTTTATTGATTAATTTAAACCAACATCCATTACATTTAAATTAGCTTCCTAATTTACCTTTTGTACATTATCTTAGCTAACTCCTGAGACTTCTACTCCTGCTGCTGAATCAATATTTGCATAATATTTGTATTCAAATCACAATGTCTTTTTTTTATCAAGTTAGCTGAGCTGTCCACACTCATGCTATCACAGTCTGCTTTCTCACTCACCTATTTTCTGCATTAACATTCCTTAGTCACCTGGTAGTCACACCCTGTCTCTCTCTCTCACTCTGTTACACCTGGGGTATTCCGGACACTATTCTTCCTGCTCCTCGAGTGATCGGCGTCCTCGCTTGGGAGATTGAGGAGAGGGTTAAGACCGCTTTGGTGGACCAACCCGGTCCTAGTTCTTGTCCCCTCAACCGTTTATTTGTGCCTCAGGTTTTGAGGGCTGAGGTGCTTCAGTGGGCTCACAGCTCCAGACTTTCCTGCCACCCTGGAATTCAACGTACCAGAGGGATGGTCCTACAACGGTTCTGGCGGGCCACGCTGGAGGCTGACACCCGGGAGTTTGTGAACGCCTGTCCTGTGTGCAATCGGCACAAACCATCTCACCAAGCGCCAGCTGGCTTCCTTCATCCATTACCGGTCCCACGTCGCCCTTGGTCACATATTTCATTGGACTTTGTGACTGGTCTACCACGTCCCACGGACATACTGCCATCTTGACGGTGGTAGATCGGTTTAGTAAGATGGCTCATTTCGTACCCCTGCCTAAGATCCCGTCAGCTAAGGAGACGGCAGAACTTATTCTTCTCCACGTTTTTCGCATTCACGGACTGGCGACTGATGTGGTTTCCGACCGGGGGCCCCAGTTCACCTCTGTGTTTTGGAGGGAGTTTTGTGAACTGATCGGGGCGACGGTCAGTCTCACCTCCGGTTTCCACCCACAGGCCAATGGCCAGACCGAACAGAAGAATCAGGAGATGGAGACCACTCTCCGCTGCATGGCTTCTGATCATCCAACGACCTGGTCAAAACAACTCCTGTGGGTGGAGTGCGCCCACAACACCCTCATCAGTTCCGCTACTGGTCTTTCCCCTTTTCAGTGTGCATACGGTTTTCAACCCCCATTGTTCTCTGCATTGGAGAAGGAGGTTACCTGTCCGTCTGTCCAGGCTTTCATCAGACGTTGTCGGAGGACTTGGAGGCAGGCTCGAACAACTCTGCTTCAGTCTGCTAACCGGTACGCCACATCAGCGAACCGCCGACGCACCAAGGCACCTGTGTACCAGGTAGGCCAGAGGGTGTGGCTTTCCACTCAGAACATTCCCCTTCGGGTGGAGTCTAAGAAGTTAGCGCCCAGGTTTATTGGACCCTTCAAGATTTTCAAGGTCATTAACCCTGCAGCGGTTCGACTGAGTTTGCCCCGGAACATGAAGATCCATTTTGTCACAATCTGCTTTCTCACTCACCTATTTTCTGCATTAACATTCCTTAGT